GTGTGTGTGTGTGTGTGTGTGTGTGTGTGTGTGTGTGTGTACTGGCTATGTAATACTTTGCCTTGCCATGTTTCTTTTCTATTCTTCATGGTCTTTCTTATAGGCCAGTTTGGTTTCTTTGGTATTCAGTAACCCTTCATGGTGTACTAGCTTCAGTGCATCTTCTTCAATGTCCTTCAGATATTCTTCCAATGCCCTTTTTTCTTCTTCAACTGTCTGGTGTACTTGTAACATTCCACACCCACCTATGCTGCTGCTGCTGCTGCTGCTTATGATGATGATGATGGTTGGTCGCACAGTCAGCCAGATGTTTAGACTGGATTTGGTATTTTTATACACCTATCAAGTCCTTCCCAATTATCTGGCTGTTGTTGTTATGCCTTTGAGTCAGTCTTGACTCCCTGGGCAAGTCCCTGCAGTTTTCTTGGCACTATTTCAGGGGTGGTTTGCCATTGCCTTCTTCCTAGGGCTAAGAGAGAGAGAGAGACTGGCCCAAGGTCACCCAGCTGGTTTCGTGCCTAAGGTGGGACAGAACTCATGGTCTCCAAGTTTCTAGCCTGATGCCCTAACCACTACACCAAATGGGCTATGAAGTCTACATGGCTCAGGACCTGACTTCTCTGAGACTCAAATAGAATCTGTCCAAGATGTACCTGCAGAGAGTGTATGCTAAGAGTTCCATCCTCCATGAGAGAGCTCAGAGGCAAACTCTCAATGTGGGAGTTGCCTCCTTGGAAAATAATTTACCACAGAAATAACATATGCACCCTCACTTTTGTTATTTAAAAGACTTGCTAAGATTTAGCTTTTTCAAAGAACACTTGGGGGCTGTGGAATGAGTGAAGGATGTACCTGGGATTTATTTATTATTTCAATTTATATAGCTGCCCATCTCAAACATATGACTCTGGGTGGCTCACAGCAATTAAAAACAATATAAAAAACAAAACAATACAAAAAATAAATTTAAAAATATAAAACCATGTTAAAAAAATACAACACAATCCATAGCCACGTTATATTAAAATCCAACAATAATTAACATAATCATGATACAGGCTCTGTCACACATCTGGACCCCTGTGCCCAGTGGCAAAACCAAGTCTTTAAGGCCTTATGGAAAGCTGTTAGGGTTGGGGCTAATCTGGGCTCCAAAGGGTGGGATGATGACAGAAAATGAATGACATTACTTATTATGGATTGTTATAACTTGATAATATATTCCATGTTTATATCTATTATATTTTTAATCTTATGCTTTACTTTATAAGCCATATTGATTCACCAACTGAGACAGTATATAAGCCTTGTAATAAATTGTGGTGGTATAAGGTACCCCCACACACGTGATCTGATTCTGGAGCAAAGCAACATTCTGCAAGAAGAGTTTTATTTTGTTGCAGCTAAAACAAAATCTTGCAGAATTTGAGTTACTTTGCTCCAGAATCACTTTCTTTAACAGCAAACTCTAACAATGTGCCACTGGAATTGCAACCATCAATGCAGAATAGCCTTACATAATCAACCACTGCACTCTAACATTGGTAACAGTGAGACATGAGTTGCTCATCTACCCCTGAGATGAGAAAATATGAAAGTAGAAAGTAGAAGAAGAAAGCAAGCTGATCTGCTAAAGAACTGAAAGGTCTTAAAAAGAGTGGGTAGAATGAGAAGAAACCTATTTTTTCTGTCTTCCCTTTTCAAAAATTTAAAAAGTGTAAATTAATACTTAATTGTCCAGACAATACTTCCAAGCAGGATGGCCACTTGGTTTCTCATCTCCAAGAACTGCCTCCTCAGTGACCATGCCAGGTGATCAGTATTGCATCAGTTAATAGGTAATCTTATAGGTATTTTAAGAACTGTATTTTAAATTCTTTTCTTTTCCCTTATCGTTTCCCTTTATTTTTATATTACTTCTATTCAATTACAACACCTGCAAACAAAGACTGCCTTAATCAGTGAGAAAGTATAACTGATTTTTGCTTCTGCAATTATTAATTTAGAAATACTGTCAGTTGCTGGAGAACACAACTCCATCCAGAAGTCTAACTCACCTTTATTACGTATTGCGCTTTGGTAAATGACTACAGCTTGATCCATTGAGGTTTGTACAGAATTGGAGTGATCGATGCCAATGAAATTCTGTACATAACTAGTCAAAGTAAACCCCACTGCAATCACATTTCCTTCAAAATAGCTGCATATGGAACTGAAGCCCAATTTGAAATTCAATTGGTGTTTTTCACTAAAACATTTATTCTGTGTCCTAAGACATATCTCAGCCAGTTATTCAGTGAAATAACAGGGATCAATCTCTCATTGTGATGCAATCCAGAATTCAAAACCTCTATATATTATTTGAATCAACTGGATAAGAGAACTAAAATTAAACACAGTGAACAACCTGCACCTTTAAATTAGACTACCAGTAGTACTCTATATAATTGGTAGTCTAATTAATCTAAGAAGAAAGTTTTGTTTGTTCTTAATAGCATGGAGAACTAGCCATTGTAGTTTCACATTTGGGACCTGCCCATGCTCTCTCACTGATTTTTTTTTTTTTTTTTTTTTTTTAGAAGATAGGACAGACAGAAAAAAGAGCTGACAAAGCGAGTATTGGTAGCATTAGCAGCTCTCGGTCGGGAACCCGCCAAGTCGGAGGGCCCTTCCCTTAAGCCAAGCGGTCCAGCCAGACTGGGAAGAGGCTGGAGGGCGGGCTTCTTTCCTAACGGGAGCTCGCCTCTCCTCTCTCAGGTACCACCGTAACTAACACTGTATCCTCTCCCCTTTTCTAGCGCTTGGAAAAGTATAAGCAACAGCTGCAGCGATTACTTTCCTTGAACTTTCATTTTATGACTTTGCCCTCACCCCGGACACAGCTAATGCTGCCTAACCCATAGAAACTCAACCGTACGCTTCCCTGGTCAGAGAGGTAGGGTGATACGCCATCCAAATAAACCCACCGAAGTTCCGCCGACCATGCAACCATTCAGGGCCAGGCACGAGCGTCCTCCTCCCACTCGGGTGATAAAGAACTCTCCCTGCAGGGTGTCGCCTGACCGAATATAAACCCGTCCTCTCTGCCGGGGAAGCGCGCACTGATATTCGATCCTCCCGGAGAAGGTTAGAGGGTTATTTACTACCTCACGCTCTTCTGCAACCGCCTCATCTCTTCCCGACCACTCCCACCCACTCCGAGGGAGGGCCTGCGAGGAGAGGATGGGAAACGACGGAAGCAATTAGAGGCCGGCTGGCGCGTGCGCCATATTCCCTCGTATTCACAAACAAGTCCCCCCCCCGCCTCCCGCGCGGTTTCCCCCTCCTGCCCATGCGCATCCAAGCGCCAGCCTCCGGGTGTCCCACGCACACCCCCTGCTCCGTTAGATGCCTGTTTCAGTCGCGCGCCCTTCCTAAGCAACCACGTAGCCGGCCTTATTTACGGCAGGCGCAAAAAGGACGTAAACGCGCCTCCTGGGCGAAGAGGCTGGTTAAGGTAAATGCCGGGTGTTCTTGGTGCGCTTCAGGATTGGCTTCATTGGGCGGTAGAAGCTTGGCCTCTGGCCGGCGTAGGGTCTCCTTCGGGTACAGCGAAAGAAGGCTGACTCATGTGAGTCTCTGCCTCACCTGCTGCGAGCATATTCGCGAGGGCAATGGTCGTCCTTCTTTTTTCTCTTACTGAGTCTGGAGGCTCCTGCGCAAGAGACAGAGTGTCTCTTGCGTTGCCTTGTTTTTCCGCTCAGAGAGGGGTGCTACCGTTTATGCCCTGACAGGCCAGCAGTCAGTCAGTCCTTGGAGGGAGCTGTGTAATTGGAGCAGGCGTTCTTCAAATGCCGCGGACAAGTCAAAACAACTCTCCCCTCCACAGAGATACAGAGTTTGTGTCAAATACAGTGTGGCAGGCATAAAATAAAGGTGCCTCGGCCGTATATGTATTTTCAAGATTGAAGTATTTGTCTTGAGTTGAGTTCAGATTTTCAACTGGTGGAGACCCATCAATGTCTCAGGCGAAGTCTGTTAATTGCAATATTATTTGCTTTCCTTTAACGAAAAACTGAAACTGGAATCTTGTACATTCTATAACAATAAAAATGCAATAAATGACTTATTTATAAAGGGCAAGACCTCCCACAAAGAGTTATAATACTTACTTGGAAGACTGCTGTGCCAGAGGTTTAGCCACTCTGATTAAGAGTATTTCAAGATTTTCTCAGTATTCTTATGCGGAGTGTTCTTATATGTAACTCACTTGAGGGAGTGTCAGAATGATTGCGAAAATGTATTTTCATTTGTTACGTTTTCTTTTAATTATTGCACTTACTGAGTGCCTTAGATTTACTCAGATAAGTAAAGTAAGCTAGTCTTTAAACAGTTCACTACAAAAGATACATCAATAAAATACATCATATAGAAAGAAATCAATAAAATAATTGTACATTAGTAGACACCAGTTCTAAATTTTCTTAAGCAAAATTTTAAAATGGAGAAACTGGTAACCTCAAACAGTTCTGAATATACAGTAGGCTATAAAGTTATTCCATTGTCTTAAATTTAGCTTGCCACATCTCTGAACAGAAGCTTCTGGAAGAAAAAAAATTTATTGAGATAAATAAAATTCCTAGGGCTAAATTATCCTGCTCAAACTAATCCCAACTCTTTATCTAAAAACAAAAGAAGAACAGCACAATCTGGTCCATAAGACATACTTTGCTGTGTTTAAGAAGAGGAAATCCAGCACTACCCCAACTACAGCTACTAAAAATTGCTGATGATCTTATCATTACAGAAATGCTCCTGATCAGGGCCCATAACACCTCTAACACCTGCCTTCCCGGCCCCTTTCTCTTTTGGAGTGCATCTGTACTGCAAAAAACCTAGAATGGCCCTAAAAATGATGAAGTGCATTCCCAGTATAATCCATAATATTTATTTCTACATATCAAATTTGTCATCCTAATATAATCCCTAATATAATCCATAAATAGTGCTTTCCAGGGAGTAGCAAAGAGTTACTGAATGTGGGCAGCGCACATTATTTCAATGGACGGTGAAGATTAAAACGTTAAAGCATACAGGATTAAGAGTTGCCTTTCAGTGAACAGAGGGTTCTGTTTGTGAAAATAACTAAAAACTAGTGGAGATTCCAGTAAGAAGAAGACGGACAGTTTACCCACATCCCGTGCTCCTCTGAAGGCTCCTCTCACCCAAGAGATTTTAGTGGTATTAATATAAAACTAAACACTTAAACAGTTTGGGAGGAAAGGACAAAGGCAATTCAGGGGAAAAGGTGAATTTGTAAAATTGCTGTCTCTCTGATCTCCTGTCCTGTTACTAGAACTCATACTAGTGGCCTAGGTACAAACTTTATGGAAAAAATTTTGTCCTATGGATTATTCTTATTCATTCTTCTTTTGTTTGTTTTTAATACTACATTGTCTTTCCAGAAGAATGCAGAGCATTTTATAAAACTAGTATAAAAACTATTATTTTTAAAAAAACATTCCTTAAGAGCCATAAAAGAAAATTTAAAACAAGTTTCATTTTGAAAAACAAAACCAGTCTGAAAATAATTTAAAAGGACGTCTGATATTAAGAACAGTTGTTATCATACAAAGCCTTGGATGAACAAACATCATTTGTTGTCTAAAGGCAGATCGTATGAGGGTCAGATCTACTTTCTTCAGGAAAGAGGAGCATAGTTAGGAATATACCACTGTGAATCCCTTACTATATTACTTAATAATATAAATGTTAAATTTAAAAAAATCAGCATGGGTCTTGATTTTCTCCAATATATGAATGAAAATAAAGGATAGGAAGTATGCATTTGAAAGTGTTTTCATTATTAAACTAATCAATACTAAGAATTACTTTAACTGTCTGTTTCTAGTAAAAATCAGTAACAGTACTTTTTTTTTGAGATGGATAGAAGTGTTTAATAACTTTAAATAATGTAATTATTTTTCATTTTTATTCTTTATGATTATGGTTATTACTATCATTTAGATTTCTATCTTACCTTTTCTCCAGGAGCTTAGTTGTGGGTGTCCCTTCATTTTACTCCCACAACAAACCTGTAAGATAGGTTGAGCTGAGAGAAAATGAGTGGCCCATAATTACCCACTGAGTCTCCATGAATAAGTGTGCACTTAACCCTTGGTCTCCTCAGTACAAGCCCAGAACTGTATCCACTAGACTATACTGCATTTATCAAAAAATAAAGGAGTATTAAAGTACTAAAGCTACTATAGCTTGTACAGTGGTGCCTCTAGTTACGAACTTAATCCGTTCCGTGACTCTGGTTGCAACTCGAGTTGGTCTCAAGTCGA